GGGAACCAGAGAGAGCAGCTCATCAGAGCAGTTACCATAGAAGTATTTGTAGAAAAGACAGAGAGAGGCGACGGCGCGTCTGTGAGAGAGAGTGACTGCAAGCAAGACGCTAGATCAGGGCCAATTAGATTATATCCTTCTCTGGATCTTGTCGGGAACTCCGAGGTAAGCGGAAGGTGCTCCAGCCCATATATGGCAGCAATACTCCATGCAAGGGCGAATGGTTGTTTATATATTTAAAGTATCGATTCAGGGAGAAAAAATTTCCTGGCGCGGCACAGAGAGCCAACTTTCCTCGCGGTGGAAGAAGCAATTGACTCAATGTTTTGTTCCATCTCAGGTCAGCAGTCAGCGTGAGACCGAGCAGACGCAGGAGTTGCTCTCAGGAAGTTGACTATCAGACATTTTAATGGGGGCAGGGAAGGATCTCTATGGTGGTTAATGGAGAGTAATTTAGTTTTAGTGGCGTTAAAGTTGACCAGCCAATTCTTGCCCCAGTTAACAACCGATTGGAGGTCCATTTCAAGACGCACGGCCAGGTTAGTTTTTCGCCGACACTAGACTTGTTTTTTGAGGCAGGAGTAAATTGTAGTGTCGTCTGCATAGATGCCGACCTGGGAATCTATAACTTCAGGAAAGTCGTTGATGAAAATGAGGAAAAGAGTGGGGCCAAGGATGGAGCCTTTGGGCACACCTGCGTTAATGGGATAGGAACTGGAGGAGAATCCGTTGAGAACGACCTTCAATTCTCAGTTAGACAGGAATAATTGTATTAGATCAAACAGTTGACCAGTAACACCATACCCCTGGAGCTTACGAAGAAGGCCGGCGTGCCAAACCCTATCGAATGCTTTGGAGATGTCGAGGCCACAGCACGATTATTCACCGTTATTTTGAAGGGCTTGGTAGACGGTTTCAGTGATGGCCGTAACACACACACACACACACACACACACATATATATATATATATATATATATATATATATATATATATATATATATATATATATATATATATGAAATTTTGACCGTGTAATGTTTAATCTATTGTTTTTTTTTATTAAATTTTATTTTATTTAATATTATTTTTTATTTATTATATTTTATTCTTAAATGAATTCTTTTTTTATTTCGATTACTCATTTCTTTATTTTTTGATTTTCTTTGCTTCCTTCTGTTCTAAAGTTTGAAAAGAAAGTTTATTAGATTTAGATTATGGATTATTGTTTAGTTTTTTTTTTTTAGATCGTGATGTGATTGTATATATCGTAAACTCTATGCTATGTCACATAGGCTGAGTTTATACAGGTGCAAGTTATATGTGCTGATGTTAATTCATGCATGTGCACATCAACTTTCGCTTGGGCCGGGGTTATTGCTGTGCTCTTTCAGAGGAGACTTTGATTGCCAATATGGCACCGATGAAGAATTTTCTTAAGTGGATAGGATTAGATTTAAATGTCTGGTTGGTGGGGTCTGTAAAATTTTAAAAGGCAAACGGATTTCAGAAGACTGTAACATTTGGGTGTCAGGCAGTATCGTGGGTGTTTGTTTTTTTTTTTCTTATTGTTTACCTATTGTTTTTATTTCTCCAGTTTTAGTTACTCATTAGTGAAGAACGAAGAAAAATACTTTTGTCTAGTTGGAAGTTTGGTAGATGTTTCGAGGCGCATTCATTCGCTTGTAGCTTTTATGCCTTGCTTACTTTTTTTTTTTTACTCATTCAGTAAGTAAATATTTATCTACCTACTCTCCATTCAGACAGTTATTCATCGGTCTACACCGAATAGTTTATTTTTTTAGCTTAGTCTTTTTTTTAAAAAATTGGTACGTGAATATGTCAGAACACTATTCATCTTTATAAATAATTGTTATTTTACTGCTTACTACAAAGTGCAAAGCAGAATACCAATATTTGTCTGTCATTCAAACAGAAAACCGCGAATTTAAAAAAAAAATTCTTATATAAATTTAATGTTTTTAACCATGAAGTGATTGCAGGTTTAAACAGAAATGCAACGAAAATGATCTCTCTTTCGAAAATACGGAAGCAAAGTTATTTTTAAATTTCCCGCCAAAACTAGTAACGTCATAAAAACATGCGAGCTGCGTGTTACTCTTAATTTTTTGTGTTCTCACCTGGCCAGTCAAAATATATCGATTTTTCTTTTCTTTTCTATTTTTTATAAGCATTTCACCCCAAACAAGGCGGAAATGCCACTAGTACGCAAGGAGCTACAGAGAATGTAGTTAAAGGTAAAACTGGATATAGTGGGTGGGGTTTAGAAATGGAGAATGGATAAAAGGAAGAACGGAAATCAAGTCAATTGTTGCAATTTGAGACAAACGATTGCCACCACGGGATTACGTCAGTTACAAGTAAGAATTCGTTATCATTTCTTTCTTTCTATGCTGAGTTTCGCTTCAAATGCGAATAGTCGCCATTATAGTTTTTCTACCTTCCCTTTCTACAAACAGTCGGACTTGAAAATCCCGACTATAATTAAGGGTAGATCGAAGTAGATCTATGGTAGATATATAAGTTAGCTCAAATGTAGGTCAGTAATTGGGGGAAAATGTGACATAGGTAAGGAGAAAGATGAAAAGACACCTCTACAGCAATAAAAAAAAAATTCCCCTTTTAACATTTTTTTTTAGCATTTCACCCCAAACAAGACGGGAGTGCCACTAGTATGCAAAGGACTACAGAGAGTGTAAGTTTAGGTATAGAAGGTGGGGATTGAAAGGATAAAAGAAGAACGGAGGAGGATGAAAAAAAAAACGGGGAACAAAGCATCAAAAGATATCGATTGACATTACATTTACATTTTTGCAGATTATAGTTATCAGGGAAGCAAGTAAGAGAAAGGAAGTTCCACTGTCGGGAAGTGCGAGAGAAGACGCTGTTAGATTAGAAGAGGCGATTACATGTAACTGTTTCGACAGTAAAAGGGTGGGACTGAGATGCCAACCTAGTAGCACGCTTAAATTCAGTCGGGAAAAAAGTAAAAATAGCTTGTCAGAGCAGATGCTATGATAAGATTGTGCAAAATTCACTGCCGTACAGGATGACGGATAACAGGTCAGTACACTTTTCTTTGTTTCTAAGAACATTTTTCTGTTTCTTAATATTTTGTTTCACTTTTGGAAGGCACCTTTCCCAATGTGCCTTTTGAATTCGGTGTCGCGTTTTCCGTCCTCTGTTACTGACGGTAAAAATGCTCGTTCTACACAACGTGCAAATTATTATATAGCTATTTCATACGAAGAATAAAAACGAGAAATACTTTCTTCCCAGCACACTACATTGTCCACTTGGACATCAACGGGAAAAAAGATAAGTTGATATTATGACTGATGATAAGACAAAAAGACCGATAAGTAATATGAAGGAAAACGGAAGAAAAAAAACAACAAATATTAGGAACTAGGATAAATATAAGAAAATAAAATGGAAGAAAGTGAAATAATTGGTAGAAAAGACATGATATAAAAACAATAAACATTAATGAAATAACAGGCAGTTAATGAAATAGTAAAAAGAAATAGTGACTTCAATTTAACCATTTTAATTAAAGTAATATTCTCTAATGCTGTCCTTACAATATCAATACAAAAAACAAGAAAAATAAAAAAATGACTAAAAAATTATTATTATATAACTCATTTGTGGTAAAGAAAGTGAAAGAGATTTCGGAACAATCTCAATATTATATGAATTATCAAAGCGAATAAAGGATGAAATCAGAAAATTGTTATAAACGAAACGTAAATATAAAATAAAAGTAAAAAATGACACGCTAACTCGAAAAAAAGATTCTAAAAACGTATTTAATTCAAAACATAACGAACGAGGAGATATGCCAAAAGAAACTGTGAGGGAAAAAATTATAGTGACATAGAAAAATCAGCTTAAGTTATCATTTTTGAACGGCAAGCTTTAACAGCATTTTGTTGATAGAGAATTGATCTTTGCAACTGTAAAAACTCTTTTTGCGTCCTTTTGACTCTTTAGAATTAAATGAATTGATATATTCTTCAGCTTAGAACATATTTGGGAGTTTTGCATGTTGTAGATAAACATGTAACTGGTCTTTTATTTGGAACATTATTCCAGATGTTTTGCTTCATTTTTGCTTTTATCAGCTTCGTTAATTTTTCTATTTCACTATATATCAGATTGTCATATAACAACGACTCTAAGTAGAAGCTTATGAAGCTTTATTTGACTCAGTGCTGAAAAAATATTATTTTACTGTGATGGATGGTTACAAGCGAGAGGGGAGATGGGATGCTCTAATTTTATTATCACAACATAGAATATCAAAAACATTTTAAGAGTCTCCTACGTGATTGGATTAAAATGTTGGACTCTGTTCCAGTTTCTTGTTTCTCTGCCACCTACGATCTTCAAAAATTTTAATCTAACGTCAACCGTCATCTTCTGTTTTTCAGAATTCTGTTTTTTTTGTTTGTTTTTTAATTGTCTTTTGTTCTCACTAAAGTCTTCTCATTCTCTTTCACTCTCAGTCTAGCCTTGGCGTCTAAGTGGTATTATTGCCTTGCTTGGGGTGAGATGATTAAACCAAAGTCATGAGAATTAAAAAACATTTCTCCTAGTCTTGCTAAATTTCTAAAAGTATGAAAAAATGGAATACTATAACATTCTGTATTGCAGTAATAGTTCCCTAAAACAACTAAATATCACAAGTTGGTTGGTTGTTTTTGGTTTAGCGGCATATAAACCTTGACGAGTTATTTAATGCCGAAATTTAAACATTTTTTGCACACGATTTTACTTTATTTTTGGAGATAATAATCGTTTACTGACACAATTATTACTAATTAACCCATAGCTGAGGGAGGAGAAGAAGTGGATTCATATATTTCTCAAGAGTATTTACAGAAAGTGAATATAACGTACCCGACTGGAATTCGAACTCGGCTCCCCGATTATAATTCCGTGTCATTATCCATTACACCACCCACACATCCAAGCTTACAACTTCTAGTATTCCAAGTGATCACTCAACTAGGTACTGACCAGGCACGATGTTGCTTAACTTCAGTGATCGCACGGGAACTGGTGTTTTAACGTGATGTAGCCTTACGCAAAATGTCATAGGTTATGGATATCACGTATTTGATAATTTTATTAATAACTTTTTTTTATATAGAGATCATTTAAAACTGTTTCCCAAAACTGATAATGAACTACAAGTAATGATAGCAAATAATCAAGTAATTCACTGACATTGTCACACTATGGAATCTAACCTAAGGTAACCTTTACAAGCGGGAAATTGGTACAGCAGATAATCTTAAAGCAATTTACTAAGCGTAGTTTAGATGTGGCACAAAGTCGAATGTATGGAGCATCTAGTGAGGATCGATCTCACTTCTCAGTTGTAACTGATTCAGCATGGCAAGTTTGCTAATCTTTACAGCACGTTGTGGTGCCAACAGCAGATATTCATCTAATGATACCGCTGAGTCACAGAACTAATAAATAATCATATAAAAACACTCCAATTGATATCAAATGAAGGAATATATAAATTACCCCCCTCTAACTATGGGTTAAATAGTAGAACTTGTACCTGGAAAAATCATAGACTATTCATACGCAAAAATAGATCATTCTTATAATTTAAGATCAATTCAAAATGTGTTTCAGCTTTAAATAATCACACAAAAAATCATTTTCAGCATTTTATCCCACGTATATATTCCAATAACATTAAATACTTACCTGTAGACACGAATATTTTAAAAAAATATTCCCTAATGAATTGGTGTTCGGGATATAATTACGCGTAGATATTATATACCATTATATGCGTTAATAGAAAAAACAGTGTTATCACTCGATGGCCATAACTCTGTAAAGCAATATTAAAACTGCTACTTGCCGGTCTAGCAGTCAAGAATAATATCAATAGTAACGGCTTCGAAAAGAATTTGCCTTGGAAAACATAGTAAATGAGAATTTATGCGATTCGTTTGAAGTAGTAAAATTCATCAGGACGTTTTTATAGACTGGACGTCCTCCCATCATACGTAACCGTAGGCTTCTAACACTTTTTGTCCTAACAGAGGCCGAGCGAGCAAAGGCGCTTGCCAAAATGTGTTATCTTCTCTCAAGAATGGTTAATAAACAAAATGAACCTTCAAACAAGGCGAGGAAACATTCTTGTTTGGAAAACAGGATTTTTTTATTTTATTTTCCTTTATGATGCTTACTTTGACAGACTGGCTGAGATTGAATCATATTACCTCATTAGTCTAAAAGAAACATTATATATGAAATACTCACACAAATATATATATATATATATATATATATATATATATATATATATATATATATATATATATATATATGCCCACACACACACACATATATATATATATATATATATATATCATACACATATATTTAATATTTTCTCTTTATACGTTATTTAATAGATAAAACAAAATATATAAAATAATTTTAGGACTTAATCCATTTCATAATATATATATATATATATATATATATATATATATATATATATATATATATAATATTAATATATATATATATGCGAGGGAGTTTATCAGCTTGACCAACGAGAATATCCCAAAACATCTGATGTTAAGTTATTTGGTTAAATTCTGGGAAGTATGTCGTCCAGAAACCTTTACCCAAAACTTATAGTCCGAATGCATACGGTGTAAATAATGATAACTCTTGATTACATAAATTCAGACAGACAATCAAAAATGTCTTGTAGAAAAATCTCTATTTTTTTTTAAGCATTTCACCCCAAGCAAGGCGGCAGTGCTACTAGCACGCAAGGGATCACAGAGAGTGACAACAAGAGTAAAGAGGGGTGTTTTAGAAAAGGATATAGAAAAGGACGGGGATCAGGATCAAGGCATCAGAAGATGTCAATTGACATTACATTTAAATATTTGAAGGTTATAGCTATCAGGGAAGCGAGTAGGAGGAAGAGAGTTCAACTGTTGGAAAGTGCGAGAGAAAAAGCTGTTGGAGTAGAAGAGGCGGTTACATTTAACTGTTCCGAAAATGAAAGGGTGTGACCAAGATGCCAACCTAGTAGCACACTTAAATTCATACAGTTGGGGTACCAGCGAAAGTAGCTTGTCAGAGCAGTTGCTATGAAAATATTTGTAGAAAAGACAGAGGGAAGCCACAGCACGTCTTTGAGAAAGTGACTATAGACGAGATGCCAGATCACAGCCTATCACATTGCATAACCGTTTCTGGATTTTGTCGAGGACCGCGAGATGAATACCAGATCATATATGGCAACAGTATTCAATGCAAGGATGAATGGTTGATTCGTATGACAAAATATATACAAAATATATTACATAGTATTGCAAGAAAACCCTTCAGAGATGTCAAGAACAATTTAAGACTCATCAACGTATTTTGGCCAGTTTGATTGACTCTTGGTATCGCGACAGACGGCACAAGGGCAGAACATAAATCTTTGTCTCTATGGTAAACGACGCCAGAAAATAACTATCAAAACCAGATACGTAAATGCTCATCAAGCTTTTGCTAAGCTTCTACTTTTAGTCATCAGTTCTTTCGTCAGCTGAAACAACATTTAAGGTTCTTAGACACAGGGGTGTTGCTTTTGTTTGGCTATAAAAGGGGGTGAATCTTTCAACACAGAGAATACTATCCCAACACCCGAGTATAGTGGTGGCAGGAATATGCTCTGACGATGCTTTTCAGCTAGCGACACTGAGATAGACTGATTAAAGTTGATGGATAATAAGATAACTAGGTTCAGATTCTAGACCTAAACATTAAACAATCTACCGAAATACTTGAGCTGGAATGTTAGTGGATCTTTCGACAAGACAACGATCCAAAACACGTGTCAAAGTTGACTAGAACATTTTTCATGGACAATAATGTTAGTGTTTCATAGTGACCAAGCCAGAGTTCAGACATTAACCCAATTAATGAGAGAGCCGAAGTCACGAGTAATGTTCTTAAAGACCTGGAGAACCTTAGAAACATTGGTAAAAAATAGTTTATTTTAAATAAAGTTATCTTCATATTGAATAAACGAACCTGTTCAATGTATAAGGGTCTTAGTTATTTTGAATAAATGGTCTATACATTTTGAAGAAGAGTACCCTTAATCTGAATATGGTGAATAACTGTAAATAATATTAAAATAGTTCTATGGTTTATTGAATTTTAGGCGAACAAAATTTTTGTTACACACACACATACACACACACACACACACACACACACACACACATATATATATATATATATATATATATATATATATATATATATATATATATATATATATAGTTTTAAGGTATACTATATTTATGGTTTAAAGTGCTCAATACCAAGGATAGAGCATATGTAAATATGAAAGTGTAAATTGAATTCAACACGCAGAGGCGACAGTCACCTCTGGATGTCAACTTTAATTTTACGTTTATGTTTAAACATGAAACTTCATCCTATGTTAAAACTTATGTCCATACAGTTCATATATATATATATATATATATATATATATATATATATAGAGAGAGAGAGAGAGAGAGAGAGAGAGAGAGATAGATAGATAGATAGATAGATAGATAGATATTGATAATATTAGTGGTAAATATACACATACATATGTAATCATATATCTAAAATATATATACATACATACATACACATACATATATATTTGTATAAAAAATAAATCCACGAGGATAGGATCCGGATAGAACTCAATGTCCGGGACAAAGTAAGGATATAATAAAAAGGCTTAAACACTAATATTCCATGGTCATAATTTATTCCATTGGAATCGTAAGTACGATCCAACTCATCAGACCTACAAATCAAATATATATATATATATATATATATATGGAGTGTGTACATATGTTTGTGCGGGTGTATGTATGCTTGAATTAGTGAATATTTTTCAATCGGGCATTTGAATTCATAGAAAATTTTATTGTATAATACCTGTGTTGCTGATAAGAATACCTGATTTCATGTTGTATTTTCCCTTTGGGTTTGTTATTAATATGTTTTTTAATAGCTCTACTATACCTTTAGATAAGTGGCGTGTTAACCGGCGTGACAATGTTGTAGTAGAGAACCCAACACATGTATATACTTGTTATGACAGAAGCATTCTCCACTAGATATTTTAGTATTAATTCAGGTGATACTTGAATTTACTTTGTTCTTAATTTTTATTAATGACTCTACTTTAGATCACATGCTGCTGATGACACAACTATTTACTCCTGTCTCGATAATAATGATGATCAGTTCGATAAGGTCAAATTGGTAGCTGATCACAAACATCACCTACAATTTGCTGTTAACTGGAGTAAAAAATGGTTTCTTAATTTAAGGACTCTAAAACAAAAACTTCTCCCTATTAATCATCTGAGAACCTCCTCCTTCGCATTCCGTCAGTAAGGCTGATGCTAACCTCCAGGCGAGCGACTCGTTGCCCCATTCTCGGCTTACATGGAGTGGAAACATTATACTGAATCAGTTACTAGGTCTGATGTTAAGAAAGTTGGTTCACTGTGTCGTGCTAGACAATCTTCCTCTCTAGAATCTATCTTGCATATTTATAAGTCAATCATGCTTTGAATATTGCTTCCACATATGGTCCGGTGTTTCTGCTATATATTTAAGAGATTCTTGATAAAATTCAAAGAAGTATCAGCAATATTATTGGTCCTAACATGGCATCTCAGTTTCAGTGTCATTCCTACTGCCGTAATGTAGCTTCCACGTGCCTTTTCTATAAGTACTTTCATGTTAATTGTTCAAATCAACTCTCCTCTATGGTAACTAGATTTTAGGAATCGAAGCACAGTACTAGATTGGCAAATCAATCTCATCAATTTACAGTTATTTGGCTAGTTGTAAAGTTCTATGTTAACAGTTTCTTTTTCCACACTTCTCTCTTGTGGAGCTTTCTTCCGGCTCCATGTTTTGCAGTCAACTTTGATTTTCAAAATATTTAACTGCAATGTCAATCGTTATCTAGTGTTTTCTTGGTTCCTTGTCTTCCATTGT